AATGTTAATGTTTAAAGTTTTTTCTGTTTTTCTCTCAACTTTTCTTGCTGCTGAGGGAATAAATAAGAAAGAGATTGCATATACACGAGCCTCCGTGTCTATAATAAAATCAAACATCTTCAGCTTTAAGTGGCTAGTGTTAGACCAGAAGCATAGCACTATACCTAACTACCTGACATATTTCAATTTATTTTGTTAAGAATGTTTGTAATAATTAATATATATTTTTACTATAACTTTGTATGCATCTTGATGGTGCACGTGTGCAAAATCAATTTGAAAGGGTACTATTTGATTGTACTGTGGAGAGATATAATTACAGTATATATGGCTACATGGAATCTATCTTTGCAAGACATATAACAGGTGGGGCATCAATGGACTCATTTGCTGTGTATTTAAAAAAACAAATATGTCCAAGTTTTCTGAAATGATTACTTTAAATTATTTCATTATTTTAGTCTAAAAAGAAAAAAAAGACCATTTTACTAAGTAAGTTCTGGTCGTTTTCACTAACATATCTGTTTTAGAACACCACCACATATAGAGAATCTATAAAAGTATACTGAAACAGAACACTTGTCAGAAAAAGTGGAGGAAAGATTGATAAATCTGTTACTTGCTAAAATATGGAGTATATTTAATAATGATGGTTATGGCGCAAAATAAGTAAAAGAGGAAAAAGTCAACAGATTTAATTTGACTAAATATTAACCAAAATTACACATAAAAGTGTCAGTTACTAAGTGCTAATATTTCCTCTAGTGACCCTACTGTTTTTCTACCACAATGTAAAACATCAGTTTATGAGATATGGAAATGTTTTGTTTGTGGGGCTGAAGACACCTTTAGTATTTGTTAAACTGACAGCCACTAGACGGTGCTTCTGCAGGACTGAGTCAGACTTGGTTCCTGACTTTCGATGTCCTTAAGCATTGCATAAGAACATTCAACATCTTCTGATGCTTCTCATAGATGCACATTAAGTTCACAGTGCTTCTCAATAAGAAGCTTTCAGTTGTACAAAACAGCCTAATAACATGACCCAAGGGCAGACTGGGCTGCAGAGAAATACTGTCCAATGGATAACATAGCATCGCTTTTGGAATTATAAATAACCAATATGTGACGTGCAGCCGCATTGGGGCAAAAGTGCGAAAATCCTCCACATAAATTCAACAAAAAAAAAAAAAAATTTAAAACATTTTTACACCCCTTGCAAGACAACCCTCGTTGATTGCCAAATGTTTTCTAATCTAGAAAAATCCCTCACTGGAGTGGGAGCTTGGTGGATTGGTGTGACGAGCCGACATTTGTTACAGTTTAGTCTAGTTTTAGTTCGCTGTTCCTAGTCCAGTCTCCCAATTATGCCAACCTAAGTGTGGCTTCATACACTATAGAATCATTGGCAACATCCTTAAAGCATCCACTACTCTCATGTCGCTGCCTGAGAGTTGTTGACATAACCATTGAATTCTTCCCTTCATCATTACACCAGTAATTGCATCCTTGGCAACTTACCAGTAACCTTACTATTATGCCAGGTTTAGAGGGACATCATCATGGCCCCAGTTGTGTGCCATATCGATTGATAGGAGCTTTAGTCGTATTACAAAGCATGCTATGTATCTAATTATTGCCTAGCGTGGACAATAAGTGAAGTCACCGCTGCTCCGGAGTGTTGGGGAGGTTTCTTTTTCCCTTCTTTCTACCTACTGGAAACACACTCAATCCATCATTATTTTAAACTCTAAGTAGTATGTGCTGTTCAAGGAGTATCTTGACTCTCTCTTACAATGTAAGAAGTGATCTCCTGTAGATGTATCCTGAAATACTGTAGAGACTACACAACTTGGGCATTAATTTAGACTTAGAGGAACTGGAAATTTGAATTACCTCCTTCTTATCTGTCAGGTATAGCATGGCATGTATTTCGTCGCCGGAACCCACTTCCGGGTTCACGGCACTCAGCCCCGCCCTTTTTTCTGACGCGGTCCCTCCACGATACTTAGGAAGACCGCGCCAGATTCAAAGGGCTGGATTATTCGCACAGGTGCTGCAGAAAGATCAGCTGCTCTACTTTTGATCCTACCTGCTCCACTTCTAGACCTCGGCTAGTAAAACGGATTTCTACCTTCTCCACTTCTCGACCTCGGCTTGTAAACGGATTTCTACCTTCTCCACTCCTAGACCTCGGCTTGTAACTCTGAATTCTACCTTCTCCACTCCCAGACCTCGGCTTGTTAAAACGGACTTCCCCACTCTCCACTCCTAGTTCTCAGCTTGTTGAAACGGACTTCTAATTTCTCCTTCATTGGGTGAATTAACCCTTCCAGTGCCAGAACTGCCTTTAAGTTAAGTAATACTTTTACCAAACAAGCCAATTCCTATTATTTATGTTACACAGTATCTAAAACTCACTAAAGTGTCACTTTGTCTAATTATTCCTCTTATTCATAAGGGATTGCTACAAAGCCTAATTTTTCCTTCATGTGTATTTAAAGGTACAGTGACCATTGTTTCATATCAATATAAAAGGAGGTGAAACTTATTGTTGCTGCAACCAGGAAATTCTGCAGTTGAGTTCCAATTAAAGAAGTATTACAAAATAAATATTACAGAATTCCCGGAGCTCCTATTCCTTATGGTCATATTTATCCACTCTCTGAAAAGGAGTTAGAAATTTTAAAAGAATATCTTAATGAAAATTTACGCAAAGGGTTCATCAGACCCTCGACCTCCCCAGCTGCTTCTAGTATTTTCTTTGTGAAGAATAAAGACCAAACCATCCGTCCTATTATAGATTACAGAGCCTTAAATAAAATAACTATTAAAAATCGTTATCCTCTTCCACTAATAAATGAATTAATTGAAAGGTTAAGAACTGCAACTATATTCACTAAACTCGACCTTCGAGGCGCATATAACCTCATTAGAATAAAACAGGATGATGAATGGAAAACCGCCTTCCGGACAAGATATGGTCTCTACGAATATCTAGTGATGCCTTTTGGGCTCTGTAATGCCCCTGCAACATTTCAACATTTTATAAATGATATCTTTAGAGATCTTCTGGATATATGTGTTATTATCTACTTAGATGATATCTTAATATATTCTAACAATTTGGATGAACATAGGAAGCATGTTAGATGGGTTCTATCTAGACTGAGAACTCATAAATTATACGCTAAACCAGAAAAATGCCTTTTTGAGGTTACTGAATTCTCTTTTCTAGGATACATTATTTCACCTCATTCTTTGAAGATGGATAATTCCAAAATCAAATGTATTATTGACTGGCCCGCTCCTACTACTACAAAAGAATTACAACGTTTTCTTGGATTTGCAAACTTCTATAGAAAATTTATTAGAAACTATTCGGATGTATCACATCCTCTTAACCTCCTCAACAGTAGTAAACGTCCTTTCAATTGGAATAAAGATGCACAAACAGCCTTCGACGAATTAAAAAAAAGATTTACAACTGCACCTATTCTACAACTACCTAATCCAACATTCTTATATGTTCTTGAAGTTGATGCATCAGATGCAGCCATCGGAGCAGTTCTTTCTCAACAAAAGACTCCACAAGATCCACTTCATCCAGTTGCCTTTTTTTCAAGATCCTTGAGCTCTGCTGAAAAAAATTATCCTATTGGTGAAAAAGAATTATTAAGTGTTAAAGCTGCCTTCGAAAATTGGCGTCATCTTCTAGAAGATACAAAACAACCTATAATAGTTTATACTGACCATAAAAATCTTGAATATCTCTATACTAACAAAACCCTTACAGCTAGACAAGTTAGATGGAACCTATTTTTTAACCGATTTAACTTCCAATTAATATACAGACCTGGAACTAGAAATAAAAAGGCTGACGCTCTTTCTCGAATTCCTTCTAAAACTACTATTGATGATTATCCTCCTAACAAAATAATAGGGATCCTCTCTTCTCTTCATGATGACATAAAGAATTTGAATCAGAAGGATCTTGAACTTCCCAAAACACCTATACTAACAAAAAAGGATGGTATATTTTATTTTAAAAATAGAATTTATGGGGGGGCGGGGCCTGACAGCCAAGATGGCTGGTAGCACTTCCTGAGAGCTCCAGCAACAACGGGCACAAACGAGCCAAAACCGAGCGTCATACTCACATAAGCGGCACAGAATAACCGGGAACAGACTCAGAGCAACATGCCGAACAAAATGGTACTAGTCCGGCACCGGTGCACTGATGAAAAAACGCTACCGGCCATGCGGCCTACACCAGAGCAAAGCCTGAGGTCCGGGGGAGGCGGCCGCCCTCCTGACACGGGACGGGCTCATAAACGAGAGCCCACCACAGCCCTGCAACCCCCCCCTATGGACCGGTGGGGGACATCCCGGTCCTCGCTGGGGACGACCATCCCCATACTATCGCCTGACCAAGCGACAAACTCTCCAGCCAAACGGGACAAACAAGGCCTAGCCAAGATGGCGGCTCAGACGCAACCTCTGGCCAAACGAATATCTCCTAAGCCACCCACGCACATGTCAGAGTTCGTTGGCCAGCTAAGCAACTACTTCTGGGCGAAGTTTAAAGCCCGAAGACGAATCTACAAGCTAGCGCTGAGGGAGGCGATGGCGTGGATCCGCCCGGCTACCCGGCGTCTCCTACTGGGGAACCCACCCTGTAACTCCCGAGCGGCAATCCGTTGGAAGCAAAGCCGAAGCTCATCACGGCGGGAACCAGCACCGGGGCCCTCAGATAATAGCACCCACAACTACAAACCCCAGAGGAAGGCCTGCCGACACACCCGACCAACCTCCAACCAAGCGACTCCACCACCCCTCAATCAGCTAAGTGCAGCCACGCGAGGGGATGCTCATACAGCCTGCCGATTGGCGGACCAGGTCACAGCAAAAGCATCTGCAGGTGGAAGAAACCAGTGGGGCGCAGGCCCTGCCGTCCAGGCAAAGCCAGTGTGGCTGACCAGGTCACAGCAAAAGTATCAGCGGGTGGAAGGGCCACCAATGGGATGCAGGCCCTGCCACGCAGGCAAAGTCCCTAGGAAAGGCATCGGGTGAGGCGAACCGGACTGCTATGCTCAGAGGCCCAAGGCCTGAGACCCTACTAGGGGCGCAGGGATCGTTACCTCACTCCGCCGGAGATATAAAACATTTTTGTTGCCACTTCACCAGGGATTGAGGACTATGGATAATACCATGCTCACACGAAGACAAGCACAGACCATCATGTGCACAGACTCAGTAAGAGACATCTCACAGATTACCGTAAGACATCTTAGCCCCACGATGCGGCCACCATGCTCGTCTGGACTGTCTCTATCACATACAGATCACGCATAGTCTATGATAACAGATCTTACTGACACTAGCGTAACTAATCTAAAACTGTTAAGCATTTTATTATCTTCACTCGTCTTAATCCCCTCTACTTGATAACTTGCTAGCCACAGCGTAGAAAAGCCGAGATAATGAATGCATGTCTGATAAGCCTGTTTCTGCTTCACTGTGGCCCAAGCCGGGTACATTCTTGTGAGAAATCACGCTGCAGCAGAATAACATTAGGGACGCAAGGGACAAGGGTCTTCCACTATTACTCTTACCATGCCATGATATGGCTGTTTTACCCTAACCTAGATCCCGCCTAGCATATACTATGACTCAAGGAGATCTTTGTGTTTATACACACTTGCATCCACTCAGAAAGTAGGTTTAGACCGAAATGCTTTGTTTTAGTTTAGACTTGTTGCCCATCTACGTTACTTATTTCTTCACTGTAATAACCTATAAACGATTAGCAAGCTAGTGCAAAGACAGTATCTAGAACTAGCCTGTAGTGCACACTAGAATGTTCATATATACAGGATCTCTGCAGCCAGTACCTAGCCAATATGCCGAACAAGCCTAGTTAAAGCGTGAACACTCTCTAAAGTTGCTTACTTAAGCTGATTGTATTATCTAACATTGTTCTCAAAATATGTACAGTTAAACGACAATCTTCATACTTAAAAAATTTTGTGCATTGTTATTGCATACCCCATTGTTATAATGTACTGGAACTAGCGTGTGGAGTGCCGTTGGGGTACCACACGCCCGTCTGTTTAACCCATATGCACTGCAAAAATAAAGAATTAAAAAAAAAAAAAAAATAGAATTTATATTCCTCCCATTCTTAGGAATAAATTACTTAAGATGGTTCATGATTCACCCCTAGCTGGACATCCTGGAATAAAGAAAACACTTGAACTAACTTCACGATATTATTGGTGGCCTCGCCAGGATAGAACCATTGAATTATATGTCAAAACATGTCCTATCTGTCAAAGGTCTAAACCAGAACATAATCAACCTTTTGGATTACTACTTAACTTACCTATTCCAGAAAAACCTTGGCAATCCATTTCTATGGATTTTATCGTTGATCTTCCACCTTCTCAACATTTCACCACTATTCTTGTCGTTGTGGATCGCTTCACAAAAATGTCCCATTTCATTTCCTTTAAAAAATTACCCTCCTCTGTAGAATTGTCTAAGGTCTTTATTGACAATATTGTGAAACTTCATGGTCTTCCTGAAGAAATTATTTCTGATAGGGGGACACAATTTACCTCCAAATTCTGGAAAGAGATGTGTCTCTCCCTTCAAATTCAACGCAAACTCTCTTCCGCTTATCATCCCCAAACTAATGGGCAAACAGAAAGGGTTAATCAATGTTTGGAACAATATCTTCGATGTTATTGTTCATACCTCCAAGATGACTGGACCACATGGTTACCTATGGCCGAATTTTCTTACAATAATACCATTCATTCTAGTACGAAAATGACTCCTTTCTTCTCCAACTATGGTTTTCATCCGTCTTCATTCCCCATCCAAACCATTACTTCATCCAATCCTACTGTTACATCAAAAAACGAATTTATGTCTTCTCTATTTCTCAAATTACGGGAGAATCTTCAACTCGCCCAAAATAACCAGAAAAAGTTTTTTGACAATAATAGAAGATTCCCCCTCCTTAAAGGTGGGGATTTGTCTGGCTCTCCAAGAATTTACCAAGACTTTCAAGAAATTGAGCTCTCTTTTTCTTTCCCTTTCAAGTAATTACCCCATTAATGATAACGTTGTTAAACTAAAACTTCCTCCAAGTTTTAAACTTCATCCAGTATTCCATGTCTCCTTACTTAAACCACACATCCCTGATCCTTTTTATAGAGAAATAGTAACAACTCCTGAACCTATCATGTATGAAATTCACAAAATTTTGGATTCTCGTGTCCACCGTGGCTCCTTACAATACCTTATCAGATGGAAAGGTTATGGAGTTGATGAAGACACTTGGGAAGATTCATCTAATGTACATGCTAGGAGGTTAGTTACTGCCTTTCACAAACGCTACCCCTCCAAACCGAAATAGTGCACCCAGAGGATGCCCCATGAGAAGGGGGTACTGTCAGGTATAGCATGGCATGTATTTCGTCGCCGGAACCCACTTCCGGGTTCACGGCGCTCAGCCCCGCCCCTTTTTCTGACGCGGTCCCTCCACGATACTTAGGAAGACCGCGCCAGATTCAAAGGGCTGGATTATTCGCACAGGTGCTGCAGAAAGATCAGCTGCTCTACTTTTGATCCTACCTGCTCCACTTCTAGACCTCGGCTAGTAAAACGGATTTCTACCTTCTCCACTTCTCGACCTCGGCTTGTAAACGGATTTCTACCTTCTCCACTCCTAGACCTCGGCTTGTAACTCTGAATTCTACCTTCTCCACTCCCAGACCTCGGCTTGTTAAAACGGACTTCCCCACTCTCCACTCCTAGTTCTCAGCTTGTTGAAACGGACTTCTAATTTCTCCTTCATTGGGTGAATTAACCCTTCCAGTGCCAGAACTGCCTTTAAGTTAAGTAATACTTTTACCAAACAAGTATGTTACACAGTATCTAAAACTCACTAAAGTGTCACTTTGTCTAATTATTCCTCTTATTCATAAGGGATTGCTACAAAGCCTAATTTTTCCTTCATGTGTATTTAAAGGTACAGTGACCATTGTTTCATATCAATATAAAAGGAGGTGAAACTTATTGTTGCTGCAACCAGGAAATTCTGCAGTTGAGTTCCAATTAAAGAAGTATTACAAAATAAATATTACATTATCTTTCCTTAGTCTTGTTTTGTTTTTCATGCTCTGATTTTGTTGAAAAAGTGAAACTGTGAATGTACGTGGCTCTATATGCTTGATTAACTCCAATGTAATGCTCTATGTGTTATTTTATTGATTCTGCTATGCCCAATATGTCAATGCTATCTTGCATTCACAATAAAAATTGTATTAAAAATAAAAATAAATGTTTCACTAAAATAGGCAATCTCTCTTTAAATCTTAGTATCAATTGGGCAATATAATGAACATAGTATTGTTAATAGTGATAATACATTGCGTTATCCCTCAAAACAAAGTGTTATGTATTAAATAAATAAGTTAGCATGATGCGACGCGCAATTGCTACTACTGTTGGAATGACATTTCCCCTCCTCCCACTGCCCCATTCAATGCAAGTGCAAATATTACCCTCAACACCTGGAGCTACCCGACTCATACCTGCCCTCTAGTTTGACCCACCAATGGCTCATTAGAACCCCATATATAGTTTTCCAAGCCCTGCATTACTCCAAATTGTTAGATGAACATATTGCATGACCATTGCATATCTACCATACCACCACTTCCTACACTTACTCACCATGTAGAGCCTTTCACCCTAGCCCACAAAATACTCTATATTTACTCATAAACAACCCTCACAAGCAGAACACATTCCAGGCTTAGGATATGGTTCTTGTCTATATCAAAATAAAAAAATAAAAAGTGCTTCTATTCCTTGATGTCTATGTTATTTTCTGAACGATTTATTGCCTCAACTACAGACATGTTTTCTATCGTTCATGTATTCTATACCTGCACTATAAAAATAAAGAATTATAAAAACAATGTGTTATCCCTTAACCACTCACACTAAAGAATTTCAAGAAATACCATAGATGTATTTATTTCTCCCTATTCAATACTCTTTGTGAGTGAAACAACAGTAATATTCCTCCAGGTGATGTAATCAAATTTACTCAAAAACAAAATATGACCACTTATAATATGAACTAATTCCTTAGATTTCATACAAAAAAACTGAACTTCACTCACTAATGTTGGAGTCTCAGTGGGTATAGGTATAGTAGGACTTGGCTCATAAACTTTCAACACTCTTAGGGTAGTGTTGTACCCAAATCTTTGTCTTCAGATATACCACATAAAATCTGGTTCTTATAATAAAATATTTCTTTAATTAGGACATTCCCACAAAATAATACATATAGGTAAAATAAGATAAAAGATATGAAGTTCTGAAAAGTGTTTTTCCAGTCTGTTACTAGCTTCTGCTTGCTTCTTGCTGTTTGAATATCGTTCAGATCCCTCTTTGGTGTCTGATGTCCCTTCTGCGCATCATCTCTTATTTCTGAACATGTGCAAATCTCGTGCTTGAGTTCCATCATTCGATATTCTCACAACATGTATTCGCATTCCTTAATTCGTTCACGAATTGTCAGTCCTGAATAATGTTCAACACCAAATATCCTTATTCCGGTCTTAATAATAAATATATCAATTATATTCTGTATATTATGTGTGCACAATCCTAATGTCAAAACCAAAGAAAAAAGTTACTTACACACTATCCTAAATCTCAATTCACATTTAAAAAACTGGAGGTCATTATCTCCCCAATGGCCATTCAAGTTTAAAGGAACACTAACGGGTCAGGAACACAAACATGTATTCCTGACCCTCTAGTGTTTAATCCACCATTTAGGTGGCTTGCCCCGCCTTAGCACCCTTAGAAAGTGTTAAAACTCACCTTATTTCAGTGCCGACGCTGGCCCCGCCCCCAATCCTCCTTGTTGACATCATCAGAATTTCGGATTTTTCGTCCTTTGCTAAAATCGTTAAGGAGGCGGGATGGGGGCAGGGCCAAATGCTATTTTGGCCAATCAACACTTACTCATACAGATGCATTGAATCAATGCATCGTTATGAGAAAATTTCCTACTGTGCAGCACTGCCCCAGGAAGCACCTTCAGTTGCCATCTGAGGGGTGACTGTTTGGAGGTGTTCCTAGGGGGCAATGTAAACACTGCCTTGTTATGTTTGTATCAAAATGCCTGAGGCAATGATTATACTCACCAGAACAACTACATTAAGCTGTCCCTTTAAACTCACCTACTATTTCAAGGCAAAACCTCTTAGGTGAGTACTACACTAACAATTCACCTGGCTGCTTTCAGCTTATGC